ACAAAAATATAGAAATATTATCAAAACTCTTCGGTCATTTTTGAGTGACATGCTAACGGTCTAATCTGATTCAATTATCTATGCTAAGCTAAGCTAAAAGTGTTCCCGACAGACCCGGAGACTAGCTGAATGGATTCCAAAATGGTAAAAGTTGTACCATGTGTCAAAAAAGTGTGCTCCTTTAATGTTGATAGGTGTCCGGCTCGAAGATATACAGTACAGTCTCAGTTTAATGGCGACCATTTGCTTTGGCGTTGTTTTTCTCGAGCGATATTTCCACCTGGGTTCACAGACATGGAGGGATTTTCATATGGCCGCTTTCCACCAATCCAATCTGTTAGGGCAGCTCAGCTCTTAGATAAGGCAATGAAAAACAGCCTCTGATGTAAGGCTATGAAGCCATTTACAGTCCTCTATTATGCCGGGATCCTTCGCTGAGGCTTCCTGGATACACAAAGCTAATGTTTAACAAGGAGCTTGTGAAACCCTTCTGGCAGATGACCCATGACGGTGAATGAATCACTGCTGTGCCTGCACTCAGGTGTTGGAGCCCAGCGCCCAGCCGAAGGGGCAGACTGGCTCCTCCAGGGCTAGCTGTATTTGCATAGATAAGCCTTCCCTTTTGATGCCTAATAGTTTGGTATTGAAGGAACAGACACTATTCGCGAGGATGAGAAGCGGCAGATAAGATAAGAAAGCCTTGGAAAGCGGTTGCGATGCTGATGTTACTGATACAGCAGGGGGGGAAAGGGAAGCGATGCACTTAAGCAAAGTCATTATTCACTATAATTAAACTTTAAGGAGGCTATTTCATATAGGTTGTACTCTGTGAAAGGTTTTCGTGATGCCACTTTTACTATGATCAAAGAGAGGCCTCTAGGATTCTTAGAAAGGAAGGAGTGCATTGCTGTCAAGGTTAGACGTCTACAGTGACACTGACAGAGGCATGAATCACTGAAATGTTACTTTCGTTAATGTGGCAAGTTACAAGCAGTTGAAGTCAGAATTGTTCGCTCCTGTGAATTTTTTCAAATACTTCCCAAACGATGTTTAAGAAAGCAAGGAATTTTTTACAGTATTTCCTATACTATTTTTTCTTCTGGGGAAAGTCTTATTTGTTTTATTTCGGCTAGAATAAAAGCAGTTTTTCATAAAAAATTAATAAATAAGATCAATATTATTAGCCCCCTTAAGCAAATCCATGTATAGCGATGATTCTGTAGAGAATCGAAAAAACAATATTGCTTATTTGCCCTAACTTACCTAAAAATATTTAGTTTAAATGTATCAGTTTGAATAATATACAATTATAATTTTGCATTCTTTATATCTTTTAAGCAAAATAAAGCAGATCTAAAGGCTACCAATACCAGATTCTGAAACCCATTGTAGATTAAAAAATCAACTCCTTTAAACAATAGTCTGTATATATGTTTATGCGGTTCATTACGCTGTGGTGACCCTTGACAAATCAGGGACTTACCTGAAAGATGAATGAATGAAAGAGTGAGTGAGTGAGTGAGTGAGTGAGTGAATAATTGAATGAATGAAAGAATGTTTATGTGCTCAGCATAATTGAGTACACCCCATTTTGGAAATTAATATTTAATACATTTCTCAGTGAATATTGACCTTATCCTAAAATGCGGAAGTGCGCCTGTTTTCGCGATTGTCTTAGAACTTCCGATTTAGTTGCCTATGATAGAAATGACAAGGAATAATAAACGGCAGAAAATGGTCAAACTACTTGCTCTACAAACAAATATCTGCATGACTATACAGACCAAGTACAATAATATAATAAGAAAATAACAAATTGCAACATCAAGCAGCGTAACGAGCAGTTTTTAACTTCAAAAAATTAATCGAAGTGAATAAAACCGGAAGTCGCGAGACAAACAGATTCAAATGGCAGGGCCCGCTCGTCGGCGGAGAGTAAGGTGAATAGGCAATGTATTTGGTGCATTTAAACAAAGCAGATTCATTAATCAGATATATTTATTAAAAATAATATTTTAGTCACCAAACATTTTTAGTAATTGACAGATAATACAATTAAATTTGAGCAAAATATTGAAAAAAAAATTACAGCCTACTAAATTTTAACAAAAATTTTCTATTTTTATTGCTTCTCTTGAACTTTCCTCTCTTTAAAATGTATATTTAATATTGTTTTTTAAAACATAAGGTGGGTGTACTAGTTTTTGGACATTTATCCTAAGTTATTTTGTTAGATAAGCTCCAGATTTGGCTTTAGTACTGACTAATCTAATGCATATGCACAAATATAAGATTGTATAGATTCCTATTTAAAAAAATGAGTTTAAAAGAGAGATTTGTGAGACGTGCACCTTTCGTTAAACTGCTTTGTAACTATAATTATTGTGAAAAGTGTTCTACAAATAAAATTGAATTGAATATTTCTTTTGATCCACCATGACTGATTCCATGCTGAGTAGTAAATGTTACGGATATGAAAAAAACATTATTAATAATATGTTAATAATCTTGTTATTATTCATTGTTCAAAAGTCTTTTCTCTTAACTTTTTATATTGCTTTTAACATTCTATTCCAGGTATAGGTGTAGAATTCATAGAGACCCCAAGCAAAAGCAACATTAAAATCCTCGAAAGTAGCCTACACCTTTGTAAAACTGCTTTAGAATGATAATTATGGTGAAAAATGATGTGCAAATAAACTTCAATGTAATTTAATATTTTGTTGATGCACCATGGCTGATTCCACGTCCTGTGATAATTGTATACACACAAAATATGTTAATAATATGCTAATAATTTGTTATTATTTAATGTTCAACTATCTTTTCTCTTATTATTTTTAAAATTCTATTCCATTGCTATTAGAGTTCATAAAGACATCAAGCGAAAGCAACAATAAATCCTTGAAAGTAGCCTACACCTTTTGTTAAACTGCTTTGGAAGATAATTATAGTGAAAAATTCTATATAAATTAACTTTAATTTATTCATTCATTTTCTTTTCGGCTTAGTCCCTTTCTTAATCAGTGGTTGCCACAGCGAAATGAACCGCCAACTTATCCAGCAAATGTTTTACACCCTTCTAGCTGCAAATCATCACTGGGAAACATCCATACACACTCATTCACACACATACACTACGGACAATGTAGCCTCCCCGAATTACCTGTAACACATGTCTTTGGACTTGTGGGAAAAACCTGAGCATCCGAAGGAAACCCATGCCAACATAGGGAGAACATGCAAACTCCCCAGAAATGCCAACTGACCCAGCCGGGGCTCGAACCAGTGACCTTCTTGCTGTGAGGTGATCGTGCTACTGACCATGCCTCCCATAAACTTCAATGTAATTGAATATTTTTTTGTTGCCCCATGACGCACTGTGGTTAATGTTTTACACAATATATGTTAATAATTTGTTAATAATCGTGTTATTATTCACTGTTCAGCAAACTTTTCTCTTAATTTTCAGATTACTTTTAACATTTTATTCCATAGCTATAGTGTAGGTGTAGAGTTCATAAATACATCAAGCGAATGCAACATCGAGACCTGGAAAGTAGCGTACACCTTTTGTGAAGCTGCTTTGGAAGGATAATTATGATAAAATTATATGCAAATAAACTTTAATGTAGTTTAATATGTTTTTGATGCCCCATGGCACACTGTGGTTAATGATATACACAATATATGTTAATAATATGTTAACAATCGTGTTATTATCATATTACTTTTAACATGGTATAGAGTTTGTTGCAACATTGGCTCATTCAAGCAAACATTAACACATCAAAAATAGCCTACACCTTTTGTAAAACTGCTTTGGAATGATAATCATGGTGAAAAATTATATGCTAATAAACTTTATTGTAATTTAAAATGTTTTTTATGCCCCATGGCTGAGTCCACACATTCTAATAAATATATACACATTATATATGTTAATAATTGTGTTATTATTCACTGTTCACCAATCTTTTTTTCTTAATTTTTAGATTATTAAGTTTTAATCCATAGCTATTGGAGTACAGTTCATAAAGACATCAAGCGAAAGCAACATTAAGACCTCGAAAGTAGCCTACACCTTTAGTTAAACTGCTTTGGAAGCATAATTATGATGAAAAATGATAAACAAATAAACTGTAATGTATTTTAATATGTTTCTAATGCCCCATGGATGATTTCACACACTCTGATAAATGTGTACACACAGCATATGTTAATAATATGTTAATAATCTTGTTATTATTCACTGTTCAGCAATCTTTTTTTTTTTTCAGGATTTCAGATTACTTTTAACATTCTAATCCATAGCTGTAGGAGTACATTTCATAGAGACATCAAGCGAATGCAACATTAAGACCTTGTAAAGTAGCCTAGACCTTTTGGTAAACTGCTTTGGAAGCATAATTATGATGAAAAATCATATGCAAATAAACTTTAATGCAATTTAATATTGTTGATGCCCCTTGTGGTTAATGTTACACACAATATATGTTAATAATATGTTAATTATCTTGTTATTATTCATTGTTCAACAATCTGTTCCCTTTATTTTCAGTTTACTTTACACATTATATTCCATAGCTATACCGTAGGTGTAGAGTTCATAAAGACATCAAGCAAATGCAACATTAAAACCTGGAAAGTAGCCTACACCTTTTTTAAAGCTGCTTTGGAAGGATAATTATGATGAAAAATGATATGCAAATGAACTTTAATGTAATTTATTAATTTTTGATGCCCCATGGTGCTCTGTGGTTAATGTTATACACATTATATGTTAATAATTTGTTAATAATCTTGCTATTATTCATTGTTCAACAATCTTTTCTCTTAATTTTCAGATTACTTTTAACATTCTAATCCGTAGCTTAAAGTATAGAGGTGTAGTTTAAGCGAAAGCACTCAAACCTCGAAAGTAGCTTACTGTTAATACACAGATGCGAATCCATACGCTGCAAACAAGTGGGTTAGAAAGTATAAACAGAGCCAGCGCTGTTTCCCATTGGAGGAGGGCATGGACGTGTCCTGTGAGGTCATCCCCATGGATGTGGGAGAAGCTGCGGGATGACGCCACCCTCTCGCTCCGCCCTGCTGCAAACTCGACGCTCGCGTTCATTTCATTCCTGCTCTCATTCCGAGCATTCTTCGCATCTCTATCGGTGCGGCGGAGATTCCCGTTCACATTCCGGCCGGCCCCAAAACACAAGAATAACTTTACACAGTTTGCAAAAAAACTATACAAACCCACACTAGAACAAAACAAAGGGGCCGAACTTAAATTTTGATATAAATAAAGCGGACGTTAAGGTAAGTTTTAAGGTAATTAGCCCTTTAACGGCTTGAGATCAAACGGTTTTTCTGGATTAAGTTAAAGCAGACGAGCAAAATACAAAGTGTATTGCGCGATTATGACTATTGATAGGCATGTAGCAAGAGGGGTCGGGCTCAAAGTATCTTTTCAATGGGATTTAGTTCGACGCTGCAGCAACAGGGTGCTTTCACTTTGTCCACTGACTCAGTCTGACATAGCAGGGAAAATCTTTGACATTTTTCACATTTTTGCTAAAGAAGCTGACCTTGCGCGCTCGTACTCTGCAGTAAGTCCCGTGCAATTTACACCCGAAACAATACGCGTCGTTTTGGGGAACATTTTTTTGGACATTGATTATTGCATGAAAAGAATTTTGGACAAGATGACGGATCCAAATGTTGCTGTTTTCTCCTCCATAGTTGGCTACGCTGCACATTTCGGAGCGCCGCACAAATATAGCGCGGAGAGACTTGTTGCTCGCGTATCTTTGGCGTTTATTCACCAGCTTCTGGTCGGATCTTAACCGTAAGTACACATTTGACTTTTTTCTTCTCTTTCATTATCTGACTTGCGTCAACTCTCGGCATCTTTATTCACTTGTTTTACAGTGTTGGTTTAATCTTTGGCTGTGCCATAAACACTTCACATCCTTTAGCCTATTTGTGTGGTTTATTTTAAAAACAGCGACTTGTTTAGTCATAACTTTAAAGACTCCTTTACTCTAGAGAAACTTTAGCTTGCTGAGCTTATGCAATTGTAAAAAGTAACTCATTTGTCTGTTCAACGCATTTATGTTTTAATCCCACAAGTTGTTGACATTGCTTTTAGTGTATTAGCCTGTTTCGGAAAGATTACATGGGAGAATCTGGCTGCTATTCCTCTGTCATTTCCTTTGTTGGGATTGCCCGCCCTGTTTCTGCAGGACTAATGTCGTGCCTCGGCGTGTTGCATTTAGGGTTTATAAACAGTAATAGCATTTCAAATGCTGCGTGTCACTTACAGTATGTGTTTTAAATCCTGAAACGCTGTTTCATCACTAGGAATGAAACTATGAAGGACGGTAACAGCGGGACGGGACGTAGCTTAGCTTAGCACTTCATCAGTGACTAGCTTTACAACTCCACTAACTATCCAGGCTTTTACATAATCGCACACTATTCAGTATTATTATATAATGGTTTACGTTTTTAAACATGGCATTGTCATTTTGAGAATGAATTATTCAACTATGAAATCAATCATCTGCACCTCCAGCTGCTTAAAACCTTCACTTTTTAATATCAAACTGCTTTTGTATAATCAATTGACTCATACCTTATAACACATCACAGGTATTACTATTGTAATACAATTATATCTTGATATTAGTCACATATTTCTTCAACTTGATTACATTACGGCCCCATAATAGTTCATTACAGTTTAACAATGGAAGCCATGAAAACACAGCTGGAAAAATTCAAGTTAATTTAATTCTTTTTTATTTCTATAGCGCTTTTACAATGTAGATTGTGTCAAAGCAGCTTCACATAGACGATTATAGTAAATTGAAACAGTGTCAGTCCAGTTTTTAGTGTTGAGGTTCAGTTCAGTTCAGTGTGGTTTAATCACTGCTGAGAGTTCAAACACTAAAAAGCAAATCATGTAATAGCAAAAATGTCAGCACTTTTTTTTTTACACTAAAATCTACTCTTTAGTTTTATTTAGTTAAACTGACTGTAGGAGATTAGCCAATTCAAAGTCATTTTCAATCAGATGTCAACAAACATTAATGTCCTAAATTTTAAACAGTCAGCAATGAGTCGACTATAAACATACAAATAAAAAAAACACATTTTCAGTGCACATTTTCACTTTCTGAATCATATAAAAGCATCATTTTTTTTGTCTTTCAAATGTTCAAGATTTAAAACTTTTCTTAACTCATTAAATTCTTAAAAGGAAAACAAGTTTCTCTATTGTGTGTTTTTGGGGAAAGACCTCCTTTCTTCCAGTTAATTGTCGTCTTATATTTCCCATTGACCCTTTTATAAAGAAGGGTCCGAGCGGCACAATGCGTTGCTTGTGTCCTCTAACTGGGCCATTATTATCACATACTACAGTAAACAGATTGACTTCTATCAGATGTAACCCCTGACATACTGTACTACAGCGATGAGAAGCAAATCAGTTTTTTCGTGTATGTGTGTGTGTGTGTGTGTGTGTGAAAAATAGGCTTAGCAATAAGCACTTTGTGCTCAGTGTGATGCAGCACATAGACCTGTTGAACACACGCGCTTGCTTGACATTTTCAAGAGAGAGAATGAAACGCTGAACTCATCAGTTGATGTTGAACATCTGACTCTTGATCAGATGTAGTTTATAAAACAGAGGAACCATATCAAAGTATTCATTAGCTACACCTAAAAAGGAAACCAGAGTAGAAGTGCTTTTTTTTGACGTTAGAAAGTTTTAGTCTTAGCCTTTACTATGTGTTGTCAGTTAGTATGTTGATGATTTGTGTTAAGCAGGTTGATTAAGAGGCTTTATTATTATTATTATTATTATTATTATTATTATTACCTTTATTTTACCAGGAAAGACACATTAAGACTAAAATCTATTTTATAAAAGCATCCTGGCCAAGATTAGGCAGTATACAAGTCGCATGGCTCTAACAGACAACAAACAAAATGCAATTAACAGTTAACATGAATCACACATTGACAAACAAACTTATTAAAACATCTGCAAGCCTGTGTTTCAATTTCTAGATCATTTATTTATTTTTAAAAGCATTCAGTGAGCAATAAATCAGTTTAAAACTTTAAACTGCAACTTGGTTTGTAGATTATTCCAAGCAAAAGGTGCTGCGTATTTAAAGCCCTTCTCAGTCTCGTCTCACTCCGCACTTTAAGATCACAATAGTCATATATATAGGCTGCTGCTGTATTATTATTGTTATTATTATTATTATTTATTAATGAGGAGGAATAGGCTGTCTTGAACTTTAAATGTAGCTCAAAACATTGAGCACTTTCATATTTTTGTGATCTTCATATTTTGTGACATGAAATGCATCTTCAATATTCAGTATCACACATATAGAGTTTTAAAATCAGAACTAGGGCTGTATAGTATATCGCTTCAGCATCGATATCACAATGTGCGCATTAGCAATAGTCTCATCGCAAGATATGCAAGGTAGAGTCGGGATAAAAGTTGAACAGGAGCCACAGAATTGTATTGAATTACTGAATTTGTACGAAATAAATACAATTTATGCTAAAATGATGTTTTTTTGCTCACTTAGAATTTTTTACTATGTGTTGCCTGTTAGTATGGTGAAGATTTGTGTTAACCAGGTTGATTAAGTGGCTTTTATAGTCACATATAGGCTGCTGCCTTATTATTATTATTATTATTATTATTTATTAATGAGGAGGAATAGGCTGTCTTGAACTTTAAATGTAGCTCAAAACATTGAGCACTTTCATATTTTTGTGATCTTCATATTTTGTGACATGAAATGCATCTTCAATATTCAGTATCACACATAATAGAGTTTTAAATGGTTATCAATCAGAACTAGGGTTGCCTGTGTTGCCTGTTAGTATGGTGATAATTTGTGTTAACCAGGTTGATTAAGTGGCTTTTATAGTCACATATAGGCTGTTGCTGTATTATTATTTATTGAGGAGGAATAGGCTGTCTTTAACTTTAAATGTAGCTCAAAACATTGAGCACTTTCATGTTTTTGTGATCTTCATATTTGTGATATGAAATGCATTTTCAATATTCAGTATCACACATAATAGAGTTTTAAAATCAGAACTAGGGCTGTATAGTATATCGCTTCAGCATCGATATCACAATGTGCGCATTAGCAATAGTCTCATCGCAAGATATGCAAGGTAGAGTATGGATAAAAGTTGAACAGAAGCCACATAATTGAATTAGATTACTGTATTTAAATAAAATGTATATATAAATTATGCAAAAATATGTTTTTTTTTGCTTACTTAGAATTTTTGTCTTGATCTACATTAAATATCTTTATTTTAAGGTGAAAAAAGACTATTTTACTTACCCCACTGGCAGATCATTTTATTTGTTTTAAAGGAAAAACTCTTAACTTTTACTTAATTCATCTAAAGAAAAAAACATACAATATTTTCACTTTATTTTATATTTTGAGAAAAAGCAACATAAGAACAGTTTTTATTGCATTGCAATTATTCAATTTTTGTTCCTGAATACTGTTAGACTACCCAGAAAACCATCAAATAGAGTTATTTAAACCTATTAATATTGCAATTAAGGATGCTCATAATAACCGATTCACCGTTAACCGTAAGGGTACGTTTTTAACCCATTAATGGTATCAGATAAACAAAAAAAAAAAAAAAAATATATATATATATATATAGACATATTTTGCCAAAGAAGCAAAATAAAAGAAGAATATTGCTGGTCAAGTTTGACACAGACGATTTGATGCCAACCCAGCGCTGATGCTGTTTGCCTCTGTCCTGGATCTACGTCATAAACACTTCTGTTAATTTGCACATTTGGAGAAAGAAGCCGCAAAACAAAACTTTCTGAATTGTGCACTGCTTTGGAAAAAAGCTGGCATTGCAGTCCGCACGGCTTATAAACACAACAAATAATCTATAGTTCTAATGATTTACTGTACAACCAATAAAGCAACCTGTTTTTCATTTGGAAAATTACAGTTATAAATAGTTCTCATAAAATATACATTTTCAAAATAGCCTACATAACAAACGAATGAAAGAAATCCCAAAATTTTCTTGAATTCTGCTTGATAACTCCGCACCAAACTGAGGGTTTCATTTTATAACTTATAAAATATGTTATCAAATTAGTGCTATATTATATGTAAACAACGAAATTGTTATATGCTATAGTAGCCTTTACAAAAAAATCAACATATGAGCCTCGTCATTGTCTTTCATCACATGCAGAGTAAGGGTGAGAGGAAATAAAAGCACACAAGCTCTAAGGTAAAACCAGACGCTCAATATTTAAATAATGACTTCTAGAGCTGCACGATTCTGGCTAAAATAAGAATCGCGATTTTTTTTAGCTTAAAATAAATATCACTATTTTCTCACGATTCTGTAGATGTAAAATAAAGGTTGTAAAAACAAACATATGGCACAACATCGATAATAATATTATGTGTAGTTCTACTGGTTTCTATAAATAATTCTATTCTACTTATAATAATTTTGATGTTGAATTATTATGTTTGAGATATATGCTTGCAGTCTGTCATATTTGACAAATTTATTCACAGATATTTGCCATTATCAGATTATATTCAACAATAGGCTAGAGTAGTTATACTGACACTGACACTGTTTATTTTTCTGCACAACTGTGTTTTCACTATGAAAGCAAAAACATCAAATGCTTGCCGTAATCATAACTCTAAAATGCGATATGATCATTTAAATGAAGTGCACACTTTCGGTTTCATTTTGACTACTAAGTGCTTGTTCATACTTCGCGCGCGGCTC